AGTGATGTTGAGCACCTTTTCATGTGCTTATTTGCCATTCATATTTCTTCTCTGGTGAAGTGTCTGTTCAATCTTTTGCCTATTTTTACTTGGATTGTGTTTTTTTTTTTTTCTTAGTATTGAGTTTTGAGAGTTCTTTATATATTCTGAATACAAGTCTTTTATCAGATATGTGACTTGGAAATATTTTCTCCCAATCTGTGGGTTGTCTTTTCATTCTTTTAACAGTGTCTTTCTAGAATTATTATTAATCTTCTATTAATTATTGTTAACAAGTGGGTTGTCTCATTTACTCATCAGAAAATAGTAGAGGAGCTATTACTATTCCAGTTTTACAGGCGAAGAAACTAAAGTTCAGAGGAATTCATCACTTGCCTAAGGTTACAAATTAGTGAGTGGTGGAGCCAGAACTTGAAACCAGGGCTTTCTGAGTCCATGGACTGGGCTCTTAACCCCAATTCTAGACTAACAACCTTGTTTTGGGTGCTGGGATGAAGGTATCTTCTGGATAAATGTGTTTGGCACCACCATCACTGGTGCTAGAAAAATGAGGGCCTACCAAGTCTCTTCCCATGCTCCCACTTTTCCATCTCCTTTCCTCCAGACTGGTTGAGGAAGTGAAGGAGCTGTGCAATGGCCTGGAGTTAGAAAACGAGGATGTTTACATGGCGACCACCTTCAGGGACTTCATCCAACTATTAGTGAGAAAGCTGCGAGGGGACGACGAAGAGAGCAAGTGCGTCATTGACTATGTGAGTCCTGGGCCCCTCCATGCAGGCATGGCCCTGCTGGCCCCTCAAGCATCCATGTCTGGGAATCCACAATCACACACAGGGGAAACCTGGATGTCCAGGGAGCCAGGACCCTCAAGAACCCACCCTTCAGTGTCCCAAATTCTCCCTGGATAGCCTGAAGATGCCAGGGCAGTAAAGCAAACTCAACAGAGAACATTGCTGTCTAAGTCTCAGTGTATGGGACAAATTCTGAGTCCCAACACATGAGACCAGGATATTAAGAAGAGACTTTTCCAGAGTACTTCTCCCCCTCTGTCTCCTTTGATGGGTTTTTCCAGCAGTGGCTGCATCTCTATTGTGCCTCCAGCCCCTGTCAGATCACCCTGCTGGGACTCCAGTTCCCAGAGTGGCCTTGTCCCCTAGTTCTGGTACCATCACCTCTGCCATTTGTCCCTGTAGTCTAGCAAAGTCAGTGGCTTCCTGCGGTTGCCAACCTCTGGGTTGACTCATGACTTCTCAGCTCTTCTGTCACCTGTGCAACTAATTTTCTGCATTAAGTTCCTTTTGTTGAAACACATGAAAGAAAGAGAGAAAGAGGGAGGGAGGGAGGAGGAGGAGGGAGGGAGGGAGGAAGGAAGGAAGGAAGGAAGGAAGAGAGAGAGAAATTGGGAGTATTTCCTAGTAAGGAAAACACATGATCTTATATATTATACTTGTATATACAGAAGTGTGGTGAAATAATTGCAAATCTATTTTTTAAAGAAATTCTTGAAAAACTGTCCCTGGGGTATCTTGGCAGGCTACAAAATCCCATAGGAATTAGCTTTGTTTGTTTAGCTGATAATTTGGAACAAAAGCTGAAAAAGAAAGTACAGGTGGCCGGGATGGACACCAGGTTGGCCTTGGGGTTGTGGACAAATGACTGATGAACAGATTTCAAGAGAAGGATGGCATCCCAGAGGCTCCTGTATTCAGTGTGAATTTCAGATCCATAGAGAAGTGAGTGGTGGGGCTGGCGTCATGTCTGGTGGCTTACAAGGGCCTGTCCACTGACTAGCACTTCCTGCGTGTGGAGGCTAAGCAACCAGCCTGAGGTCACACAGCAGGTAAGTGGCAGAGCTGGGATTCCAACCCAGGCAGTCTGGCCTCAAAGTCTATGCTTTTCACCTCTTCTTGTCACTCAGCTCCCAAAACTGCCCACATAATAGCTCCTTGGGCCGAGGAGGACAGCAGGACCGGATTTGGCAAAGGATCTCTGAGGAGGCCAAGGGGCCTTGAGCCCTGGCCCCCTTGGTTGTGTGTGTGCGCACGTGAGTGGTTATCTATCCATCTGTGAGTGTTTCCTGTGTCTTTCTGTGGCTATGTGCCTGTCACCGATGCTCATTTGTGAAGAATCGACACTGTGGCTAAAGCCTGTGAAACTTTCCTTCCCAGGTGGAAAAGGCAGTGAATAAGCTGACCCTCCAAATGCCCCACCAGCTCTTCATTGGGGGCGCATTTGTGGATGCCGAGGGCAACAAGACCTATGAGACCATCAACCCCACAGATGGAAGTGTGAGTGCAGGCCCAGCACCTCCTCCTGCCCGCCCCTTTTTCCCCCACAGCCTCCTCTCCCATCCACTCCCTCACCTCCCCGACATGGCCTTTGGGGGTCCTGGCCCGGGGGGCCTCTGCTTGGACATGAAAGGGGTGCAGTCAGTCTCCAGTCCTTCCTACAGGAAGGGCATAGTGGGGAGACATGGGGGGGAGGGTAGTGGGGAGGCAAGAGGACTCTAAAGGGTCTTGAGCCTACTTCAAAGACTGGGGAAAGAGTTAAACCCCCCAAGGAAGAACTGAAGGCCATTCCCTGCCCCTCCACACTCCAACAATGACCCCAGCGTGGGCCCCACCTTCTTGAGTATTTGAACACCCCACCATCAGGCAGTTCTTCCCTGAGTCCCGTGTTTGTTAGACTGTCTCCTGTGACCCTCTTGCATCGTGACCCCGTACACGCATGCTATACTCTCACGTACACACACACCTGAAACAGCAGTTACTCTTACAGGCGAGTCCTGATTGTTTTCTATCCCGTCCTACCCTACGGCATCACTCAGGTCCCTGCAGAAAGCAGATAGCACACTCAAAGTGGGTCATTTGAGGGAAGTTTAAAGAAAGTGACTCACAAAGGCATGGTAGGGTGCAAGGACTCAGACAAGGGGCACAGTCCCCTCAGGCAGGAACATCAGGAGCTGGAGTTTCAGGAACTCCTAGGAAGGAGGCTGTGTGGACAGGGCTGCTCAGCAGGCACTGTCCATGGTGATCAGCGAGTAGGTGCTGGCCGCACTCCTCCACCCCCATCTCCGCCAGCTTCCCTTTGGCCACGCCCCGACCCTGTGCTGTAGTGCAGGTGGGCACCCTCAGGACACACCTCAGGGCACAGAGTGGGGAGTGGGGATGGGCATTCTCCACTCATCTCCCATGTCTATCCTATTTCACTGAACAAAACCTTCCACTTGGGACTCACTAAGTTAATGAGTCTCTGCTCTTGGTTTGAAAACGCTAAGCTGACCTTCAGCCTTGTAGCTGCAGCCTGAGTCTGTTGCCCTGTTTGGGCTCAGTGGGAAAGTGAAGAAAAGGCCCCCCGGTGTGTAGAAACACAAGCAGACCTTTCCGAAGGTCCCTGCCTTCCCCTTTTTGCACAAACAAGTTCCCAGTGCCCTCCCATTGGCCCTCTGAGCCCTCTGAGCCCACCCAGGTGGCCAGGGGAGTGGGTGGGGTGGGGTGTCTGTGCTTGCTCGGCCCAGGGACGGCTTCATGGGTCTGCTTCACCACAGGCCATCTGCCAGGTGTCCCTTGCCCAGGTCAGCGATGTTGACAAGGCAGTGGCTGCTGCAAAGGATGCTTTTGAGAACGGACTGTGGGGGAAGATCAGCGCTCGGGACCGGGGCCGGCTCCTGTATAGGTGAGAGCCCCACACCCACCTGCTAGCCACCACCACCTTCAGCTCGGGGTGGATGCTCGGGTGAAGGCCCCTTTTCCCGCGGTCCTGTCAGGAGGAGGTGGGGTCCCAGACAGTTAATGTACCTGAGGCCTGAGGCTCAGAAAAAGCATCTTAAAGGAAGTGACTTGAGAAGCAGGAGGGATTTCACCAGACACAAGTAGCCTTAGGGAAAAGTGTCCCTGGCGGAGGGACAGTGTGAGCAAAGGTGAGGAGGTACAAAGGTGAAAGTGTGCTTCAGGTGGGAGCCGAGGACTAGCAAAGCTGACAGCTGGTCCCGGGCAGACCCAGACAGGCGTGGGCTGGAGGAGGTATTGAGAGTCCAGACGCCACAAGGGCACAGAGCCGGCGGGTCAGGGACAGGCTCCATCCTGCCGATGCTTGTCGTTGCTCAGCCCGGCTCTGGCCACCAGAGTCTCCTGGTCTTTCATTTTCTTTTTTCTTTTTCTTTTAAACCAGGGCAGAAGGGGCCCTCTCCCTTAGCTCCAATCAGAAGTCTTAGGGAAGGACTTGAGCTTGCTCCCGTTTGTGAGCACAGGGTGGAAGTGAGGCCCCGAAGAGAGGCGTGGTCCCCGTGGGTGAGGAGTGGTTGTCCCCAAGGAAGTGAGGTGTTGTTTCCAGAAGAAGGGAGGGTGCTGGGCAGATGAACTGAGCAGTGTTGGGAAGCCTGGTGAGCCAGTTCCAGGAGCTCTGGGTCCTGGGGAAGCTCTCAGGCGTGGAGCCTGTGATGGTGTGGTCTGAGCATACTTGTCATCCGGAGGGAGAGAGCCTCCACCTTGGCCTCACAGTCAGAATGCCTTTTATTTCTGTTCTATTGGCCAGAAACACCAGGGCAGCCCCCACTGCAAGGAACCACGGAGACGGGGCTGCATGGTTTGCAAAACTGAATAGAGGTGGTGGGGTTTGGGGCAGGCGAGGGCGTGCCCAGCCTGCCACATCTCAAGTTAGTTTCAAGACCCGTTGGAGAACCTGTCATTTTTAGAAAGCTGTTGGCTAGTGACCCAGAGCCCCTGGAGGTCAGGCAGAGCTGTGAAACGTGTACACCCAGGCTGGTAGTGGTGAGCCTCTGGCCCTGGAGCAGAGATCCCTGTGATAGCCTGCGCTGGCCCAGAGAAGTGTCCTTCCCTCAAGATGCTCTCCTGCCATCTGGTGACACGTGACGTGATAACCCCAGTAACCACAATGCGAGTGAGAGAGTGGCACCCTGCACGGCTCTAAGTGGAGACCCGGACTGGGTGGACAGACATCTCAAGGCCTGAGAGCTCCTAGTGACCCAGTCCCTGCCCCATGCAGGCTCTCAGTCCCTGTGGAGGAGGCACGCCCATCACTGGCCCGAGAGGGAGCGGGGCAGGATTTCCCAGAGAAATGGCTGCAGAGCATCCCTGGTTCAATGAAGGAATAGGACCACCATGGGTATCGTGGAATACGGAATGCATTACAGGAATAAGACATCATCCAATTGTGGGAGAAGCTGGGAAGAAAGATGCAGAAGGGAGAGTCAGAGAAAGTCACTAGGCAGCCCCCAGAATTTCTGGGGGACAAGATAGAGCTCCTTGGGAGACAAGGGAGCTGCCAGAGTGGGAGCACAAAGAACCAGCGGGGGAGTCTGTGGGAAGCTGTCGCCCTGTGTTCGGAGACTTCTGCAGGACCAGGGCCCAGAGTCTGGTGGTGGCCTGGGCTGCTGTTGGACAGGGGCAAGCTGGAGCTCAGGCTGAGCCCGCCAGGCCCTCTGCGCCTGCCCTTCCCTGTGTCTGCCCTGCAGACCTGGTGGGGGCGCAGCTTCACTACTCCTTCCACACCTGGTGCCGTGTGAGGACAGTTGAACCAAGCTGACAGTAGAACAATCTCGCACAGCTCCCCTCGCGGAGCCTCCCGAATGGTGTGCCTAGGTGATGGTTACTTTAGTTAGTGTCTTGGGAATTGGATTTATGACTTGGTCACATCACACACATGTGGCATTGTCTAGAAGTGTTGGGTGTTTGAGGGATTTGGGGCTGGTCAAGGAAAAAGATATGACCATGAGAGGCAGTAACACACAGCAGGCTTATTGGGGGTGCTTGGGCAGGTTACCTGTGGGAAAGCCCCCACAGCAGGAGACCCTCCAGAGGCTGCAGTGAGGGGCCGATACTCAGAATGGGAGGGGTACAGGGGAACTCCTGGGGGGACAGGGGGATCAGAGAGGGGGCTCCCGTATCCAGGCGGTGTTGGTCAGCAGTGCGGCTGGGGTCTCTGGGCTGGAGGGCTCTGGAGGGCTCTGGAGGGCAACAGCTATACCTGCATGGCCCATCTCACCAATGGTAACAGCTGTCAGGTGAAGTTGCTCAGGGGATGCAAAGCGGGCAGGCTCTAAGTGGCTAAAAATCTGCTTGTTGGGGCT